TCCATCCATCCATCCATCCATCCATCCATCCATCCATCCATCCATCCCGCCCGCCCGCCCGCCCGCCCGCTCCGCCGCACCCACCGCAGCCTCGGTACCCCGGGCCGGCAGCTCCCGCCGGGGCCGCGCCTGAGGGAGGAGAAAGGCCGGGCCGAGCCGCGGCTTCGCCCGCGAGAGCACCTCCCCGCCGGTTACCACGGCGGCGGCTGATAAATAATGCAGGGCCGGGGAGGGGGCACGGGCCCGCAGCAGCCAGCTGGCAGCGGTGCGGCCCGCCAGCCTCGAACAGCGGGAGGGGCCCCGCCCCGCGGCCGCTCTTCGCCCCGGGATCGGGCCCCGCAACCCCGCGGCTGCCGGAGACCGCCAGGCACCGGCGCGGGGCCAACGGGAGGGGGCGGGAGGCACGGGCACACCGCCGCTCCGGGCCTCGGTGCTGCCCATCTGTGCCCCTCGTGCCGCACGCCCCTGCCCGGCGCAGCCCAAGGCAAAGAACCACGCACACGGACCTCGCTGAGGCCCACGGGGGTGGGAGAAGTTCACCCACAGCTTCTTCCCCCAAGTGACACCACAGACAGACCACTGGCCAGAGGGCTCCTTCCCCAACACCACACCTCGACTTGGACTGAAGAGACCAAAAGCTTTATGCTCACAGTTTCAAAGATGAGTTCTTAGACTTGAAAATAATTTAACTCCAACTTGCCTATGCGAAGCGCCGTTTCACTTTGCGCTAAGAGGAAGCCAACACAGATACAGGGAAAATAACTAGCTATTTCTCTGCCAAGCCTCAACATATTACTGAGGCAGGGATGTATTTCAGCTTTCCCCTTCCATTCTGAGCCATGGAGATGCTGTGTTACTTGAGCTGCAAACACTGGATAAGCAGCATAACAAGCCACAGATTTACAATCTAGCAAAGGTGGCTCTATGCACAAGAATAAGATCACAATAATCCTCTAAAAATGTTTTTTTGTTGTTGTTGTTTATATGATTTTTCAAAGATACAATACTTATTTCTCAGTATTAATCAGTGTTAAAGCCAAATCCAGCAGCTATTTCTGATTTATGCTAGTATCAACCTGCAACAAACTGATTAGATCCAACAGTGCCTTAAAAGAACTCAGTACAGAGAGTGCCCCTGAAATTTAATTGTGTCCTTCTTAACTACAGCTTGAGGGAAAAACAGCAGCCCTACTACAGCCCTTAAGTTCTCACACACTACTGGTATATGCCTTGTCTTTGTGTGTGTGTATGTAAGAACTAAACCAGTCTAGGCTGATATTCTATTCCTCCGCCCCAGCCTTTCCAGACTATTGATAATTTTATTGTCACGGCAAACTGGCTCTACAACCTCTAAACTTTAAGCACTAGAGGGCAACATTACCCCTTGTTTTTACAACACATGTCAGTACCAAAAAAAATTTCACAGTTCTCATACCTGGCCAATGAAGCCACTGTGTAATTAAACTAATATGCTTTCAACAATACCATCTCTTGCCCAACACAAGTGTTGCACGTTGTAAATTCGTATTTTGGATATATTAAACCGAACCTTGTGAGGTCTAATGAATTGATTGCCTTTGCTTACATCTGACACTAACTCAGACAGCAAAAATAAGCTGTATGTGCGTACTTCATGAACAAATACCTGAAATAAAATATGTAAGACTGTGTATCATGCAAGATAATGCCATTATAATACTGTATCAGGTTACTCAGTCTGAAGAAACTTGCCACAACACAAAGGATCACTCAATCTTCCTGAACATTTTACTCTGCAGAAAAACAGAGCTAAGAGCAGTACTGGAGACTTGCTGTTCTTTCCCACTGATTCCATGTTGTGTAACTGAGTGGAGATCAAAGGGCAGTACCCTTAAGAGCATTAAGTGCAAGGAAGCAGCTTTCATCTGTTTTCCTTGTCAAGCTCCTGAACAGAAGCACAATTATAATTGTGCAAGCATACAATTAAAAACATTTTCCCTCCCCCTGATGACATTACTTGTTACAAACAAGTTTTTTTTTCCATCTCACTCCCTCTGACTCTTGAAATCTTCCTGTTCACCAGTTTTCTTCACTATCAACTATCACAAAGCTGTGCTGTAACATTTAGGAATAACTGACAGATGACCAAATTCAAAGGCACTTAGGTTTACTTCACGTACTATTTTCCTGACCATTCTATTGCCAAGAGAGATGCTCCAAAGACAAATTCATAAACCTCATTCTTCAGGTATAGCAGAAGACTTCAAAGCCAGGTTGTGAGCTTGTATAAGCAGCTGTGCTAAGAGGGTTTGCATTTTTGAAAGTGGTTCAAATCAGCTGCTTCAATTCTTAGTGGAATAAGCCTCATTTTGGAAGATTACCCACTAATCCTGCCCAGCAGGAATGCCTTCCACCTCCCTTCCCTGTTTCTAAGCAGATCATAGCCAGAAGCCTGCAGATAGTGACCTATGTACTGGCTGTACAAGCTTTCATTCCTCACATTCAGAAAGATTAAGGAGCCCTAAGCTTCTGAAGGGTTCCTGGTGAACAGCAGTGCCAGAAGCAACACCACCTTCAGAGGGCATCTTCCTCAAGGGAACCAGACCATGCACAGACTCGCTTCAAAAAGGTGAAAACAAGTTCACTTCTGTTCACTGGTTGAGAAAAGGTGTGGATACAGACCATGCAGGTTTGATCAACTTCTACAGGGGTGCAGCTCTTTTTCAGCAATGTTTACTTCTTTGTATCCAAAGTCATCAGGTTCATTAATTTTGCTTCAGGGCTGACCAACTTAGCACTCAGGGAAGATTTTTGTCCCGTGGGATCTACATTTTCTTTTATTTCTTCAAGATCTTGCAGCACTGCAACCCAATTTATATGGGGGAAAAACTAGAGCAGAACACATTAATGATAGAACATTGACCATCACAGCCTGTCTAGTTGGTATGGTTAACTACAGAAGGTTTTGGATATTCTCATTACATTGATCCTAAACGTGTATCATTTTGCATTTGCATCCTGAATACAAAACAGTTTACATCTGTCTGTGTGTAATCTGTCAAGTCAAGATAACTTGATAGAAAGAAGCAGATTCTGCAAGAATAATCCAGTATTACTTCAGCATTTAAACATTGCTACTCTTTTCACTGCTTGAGCACTTCAGCTCAACTAGTTACTCTTGAGTTCCTCTGTCAGTCCTCCCAGTCATCCTGCCAGTTTTTCCCCATCCAGAAATCGTGGAAATCCATTCCCAGTGTCACCACATTGCTCTCAGCCTGTGAGTGTGCAATTCAGGGAAAAGAGAAAGAAGAATTTTAGTACTTGGCCAAAAGTTGTCATTGACCAAAATCAAAATATGCCATTAAGTGATTATTCCCACTTCTATTCAGGAAATAAACCTTGATGGAGTCTTGATCTATTTATGTAAAGCAGAAATCATAAAAGGTAAATTAAAGAATCAACCAAACAAAAAAACATTATGAGATACTAGTGAGCCAGACTCCCCACAGGTACATGTGAAGGTACCAAAGAGCTACTAAAGCACCATGATTATACAGGAAAACACTCATTACTTGTCATTTTTAACAGAACTGAGATCTCAGTGGAATTTGAACAGTGCCTAATACATCTGGCCTCAATATCGAGACCTGAGGCACCTACAGCAGGAGTCTAATATTATTTCCCACTGTGCTTTCAGAGTTCCACAAGGAAAAGTAGAGTTTTAAACACCCTTTCGTAAAGCATGGTTTTTAGAGCTCTTATTTCACACTATGTAATCAATTTTCTAAAAAAAGTAAGGGCTAAAGCCTGACAAAATACCAAAAAACCCTTATTTTATAGTTTTCTCTCATCATTAGGACATCATGCCTGATTTATCCAGACAACTTCACACTGCAGTTATTATCACTTGAAAAACAGTTCAGTAAAACATAATAATCTTGCTTCACTGGACCTGCAAATGTGGTCTTTCCCACACATATCTATCTCCTTAATGTCTGCTCATTATTAATTGTAAGTTCTCTGAGTAAATAAAGTGTTCTGAATTTGGCAGTTTGTTTCTTTAATTTATTAATATTTTTTTAAATACATAGATCAGTCACTTATGAAGCTTGCCAACCATCGCAGGTCACAAGAGAACTCACTGCAATGCACTTGTTTTCCCTTGAAGTAGATCATTGTTACTACCTCTGTCTTCTATCTTGGAGAGGTGCCTGATTGCTTTACTAATACGTTCCATTTTTAAGAAAAAGTGTTAACAGAGTAATGGAGCACTCCATCAAGTGCTTATAACAGAATCACAAACTATGAGGAACAGCAGGTTTGCAATGGCACTTACCAGAAAGTCTTCACTGAGTCAGGCTTGGAACTTAAGTAATGCTAAGTGTGACAGCCAAGAATAATCTTATGGCTTTCACACACACTGCAGGACTAGGATCTAGTAAATGAAAACACTGAACTAAAGAAACTGATCCTGCTTGAGCAGAGTGGGACTACAGGCTCCAGAGATCCTATCTAGCCTTTGTTGCTCCATGATTCTTTGCTTTGTCAGTCACAGGCCCAACATCAAACAACCAGACACAGCTGCTTGTGTCACCTCAAACGTATTACTTAGTGGTTTTCAATTTAGAGACAGCTGAAACACACTTTTTCTCCAAGAAAAATAAATAAAATAAATAAAAGCAAACAATCTTACCAAGAGCCTCCAACAGAACATGAAGTGGTACTGTTACAGGCTAAGCCTCAGAGAAAGGAGATGCAAATTGAATATTTGAAACTGTAAGACATATTTCAAGAGGTGTCAGATAGGTTGGGATTCTGCTTGCAGTGAAATGAAATTGGTTCTTCACAAGCCATTCCAGGCTCTGAGTTACCGTCACTTTCTTGATGAACTTCTCTTTCACACAGTTAGTTTCACAAACTATTCACTG